AGCAGAGCTCACTGGGACACTCAACCCCTCCCTTTTCCTTCCCCATGTCTATATCTAACTTTTAGAGCAATTGATTAGAATCACTTCCTGACATTTTTCTAGTTTTGCTTTCGGAGTTACAGTTTATATAACCAAGATCTGTTATAGCGAGCTGTGTCTCCTACTTGTCAGATATCAGAGCAAAAAATGTATGCCTGCAGAATCCAGCCTTTGATCCAGCGCTCCTAGAGAACCCCCACTCGTTTACGAAGCAAGAGCTTTTTCGGGACTGTAATACTAAAAGCTAAAATGTATAGGCCGGGTGTGGTGGCTCACAACTGTAATCCAGCACTTCGGGAGGCAAATCACTTGAGCCTGAGGAGTTCAAGACCTGCCTGGACAACACGGCAAAACCCCATCTCTACTAAAAATAGAAAAATTGGGTGGGCGTGGTGGCATATAACTGTAGTCCCAGCCACTTGGGAGACTGAAGTGGGAGCATGTCTGGAGCCCTGGGGGTGGAAGTTGCAGTGAGCCAAGATTGCACCACTGTACTCCAGCCTGGGCGACAGAGTGAGACCCTGTCTTTGAAAAAACAAAAAGAAAAAAATATACAGAGTGCTTGCTCTATTCTAGGCACTATCCTGAGTACTTCATAATAACTCATTTAATTCTCACAACAAACCTATAAGATGGGTATTTATTATCCCCATTTTACAGATAAAGAGACTGAGGCAAAAAGAAGTCACACAACTTGTCCAGGTCCTGTATTATTCCTGGTTGAGCCAGATTTTGCACCCAGGCAAGTTGGCATCAGATTCATAATTCATAATCACCCACATTCATAATCACCATATGTTCTTCTAACTCAATGGGCTTTACCTATCATGTCAAGAATTATGGGATGCAATATCAACATCAGGGAAACAGGTCAAGAAGCTACCATAGTGGTCCAGGGACAAAATGATGAGGACCTGAGCCAGGATAGAGCAGGGGCAAGGAGTTGCTAAGGGCAGATTTAAGAACCGATTAGGATGTCAACCAACAACTTAGTGAGAGAAGGAGGGCAATAGATATTTAGCTTAGGAGATTGGTACCTGAGTGAAGAGGGGAGTCGTGAGCCCCATTTAGACATGCTGAGTCAGAGGCACCCAGAGGAGATGTCTGGCAGACAGGTGGATGAATTGGCCTGGCCTGAAGACACAGCGCAGTCATACACACATTCATTTGGGAGCTTAGTGGCCAAAGAACAAACAAACTCCACAGGGTGGTTAGTGAAGACTTCCCAGGTGCTGTTGGCTTCCAGCCACGCCCTGAAGAGCAGGATGCTCTGAGAAGTGGGGAGATGCGGCGAGGAGGAGTGGGAGAAGGATGTCCTTGCGATGAGGAGTCTGCCATGGAGGAAGAGGGGAGTAAGGTGGGCAGGTGCTAGGTTTGGATAGTGGAGCTTATCAGGGAAAACTGACAGAAAGGCTCTGGAATGACTTTTGATGACTTTTTCCTCCTAAGTCAGATTTTTAAAAATGAAAATTGTTATGGAATATTTTAGACTGATATTCATAGTTGCTACTCCCTCCTTTGCTCTTCCAAAGTAATTTCTTAAAACCAATATTATGGGGAGATGTATGCATTAAACTATCTTTAATATCCTAAGAGACCTTGTTCTTGGAGACCTGGGCCACTAGGAGACCTCTCATGTGTCTTATCAGTGGAAACATCTAAAGGGGCAAGCAAGGAAAGTGGTGAGAGGTAAAGTCTTAGTCAAAGCACAGAGGCAACAAGACCCCTTTTGTGTGTAAGCAGCGGGGAGGGTGAGCGGTGGGGCACGGAGGCCAGATGAGAGAGCCAGTGGGAGCATTCTCCTGGGGAAAGGACACTTCTTTGGTACCTTCTTTTCACATGGGCCTCCTCTGGTTTTGAGGTGGATATGTGCAGTCTGGTCGATATCACAGACCAGGACTGGCTGTGGGCTGTGGCATAGCCACGTTGCTTCTGCAAGGCTGAGAACACTGCTGTTGCCTGGTTTGCCCCATGGGCTTGGAGTGTAGAAGCATAGGAATTAGCTTGAAGGTTGAGGGGTAGAAGGGGGGTATGGTTTAGAAACAGCACAAAGTTGCCGAAAGACAGTTCAAAAGATTGTTTACTTTCCCCCCGTTATTAGAGCAATACATAATTATCAGAAAACATTTGGAAAATGTGGAAGAAATGTAAACGTTCATAGTCTGACAATTACTGTTAGCCTTTTGACATACTTCTTGCAAATCTTTTCTCAATTATAATCTGTTTTAGTTTGCTTTGCTTAATTATGATCAAATCAGATATATAATAATATGTTTAACTTTTTGATCTAATGTTATAATGTCAACATTTGTCCATTAAACTGTGAACTTTTATTTTATGTGTCGACCAAAATTCTCTTACCAGTTTATAAGCAAACCAAGGACCTTCTGGATGATAGCTGAGGGAGAAGTAGCAGCTGGGGCTGGAAGGCGGGAGGGTTATTAGTCCAGAGCACTCGTGTCTGGAGCCCTATTCAGGAGCAAGTGAATGCTGAGGGTGGGTGAGGCCAGTGCTGGTCCTAAGGAAATCCTTCCATTTACCATTCCTACCTCTCCTGATTTTGAGAGTTCTATACCAATCCAAGAGTGATTAGCAAATTAGCCACTGAGCCTCCAGGAGGTTCCTGCAGGCCCTAGAACTAACCTTATTTGAAAGAAAGAATCCTGGAACCTCCCACAGCAATGAAAATGAGACCACTTTGGCTGCTTCACTCTTTATACAAAGAAGGGAAGACCTGGGTAAGCTGCCCTTTCCCTGTTGGCCTCCCAGGCGTTCAGCTGACTGACCGACTCCATTAGCTGTGTGGAGCTTCTGTAGAGTAAGTAATCATGTGGTGGAAATTATGAGTAGTGTACTGGCTCCAGGTTTATGATTTTCTTTAGTATGTAAGTTCATTTGTTAATTAGCTGGTTAGTTATGGGAAAGATCCATGTGATCCAAGGATGAAAATAGGACCTGGGAAGGTGCTTTCTGCAGACTGCTCAGTGTCTCTGAGACATGAACAAATAGCTTGTTTACTTGCAGAGGAATGTGCTATCAGCCAGGGATTTTTTTTCTTCCCCTGACTAAATTATCTGAGCGTGGCATAAAAATTAAAACACCCAGAGTAACAATGAAATGGTTTAACGAATCATTTATATTAAATATGAGTTTATTGCAATGCCCTTCTTTCCCTAGTTGGCATGTTCCCCGCTTCTTAATCTAACCGAAATTGTTTCAAGATTGTATTCATCGTGGCACATGGGGAAATCACACACTTCTGAAACAGGCCCCCTTGGGTTTGAATCCGGCAAAGGAACCGACACAGTCCTGCCGTATTTTCTCAATAGTTGTATTTTCTCAGCAGGAAGATGGAAACAGAAACACCTAGGTCCATAGGAGCATGTGAGATGAGGTTTGTGAGTACTGGGACCTTGAGGGCTGGCCCTTGGTAAACAGCGGTTATTATCTCTTCTCACGCTGCCACTTAGGAGACCCGCATGCCTTGCGGAATGGCCTGGACTGGCCTGGCCTCCCTTTGAAATGAGATTCCTAAAATGAGATGCCTGGTGCTCTGTGACATGCACCCAAGGATGCTTGAGGCAGATAAAAACAGCCAGCTTTCCCAGAGATTTATGGTTCTGAAGCTCATCTTTAGTAAGTACGGATCTTAAATTCATACTTACTGGGCCATTTGCCCAAACCCAGACTAGAAACCATTCATCTCAGTGGAGTTGCTGGAATCACAGCTTTTCAGTCCTTTTTCAGAATTTCCGTCTGAATGCACTTAGCTTTGCTGCTGGCAGAAGAGTACCCCGAAAACATTCAGCAAAGGTTTTGTGATCTCTTGGGAGGAAAGGTGTTACACAAATCACTCGTAAGTGCGCAAGAAGAGGATTTGTGCCAGAATTGCTTTTTGGGAGAAGAGATAACTCCAACGGTTATCCTGTGGACTGAAATCATTTCCTGCACTGGCGATTTTCCCATTAACCCTAAGCATGGTCCCTTGCCTGCGGCCTCTCCTCTGAGCACCCCTGACCCACCCAGGCGTGGTATGTGGTGGGACAGTCCCAGCTGCATTCCCAGGCAAATATTCCTGCCCCTCCAAGTTGTTAGTCCTCCCCTGGGGGGTGTTTTTCATCTATACTAATTTTCACCTTTTATTCCTGACTTGTGGCAGCTTGTCCTGAGCTTTGGATAAACTGAAAGGATGTGTCAGTCCCTCCAGTGCCTTAGTTCAGGACAGGCCAGGGCACAGTATTGCCCTGGATCTCATGAAGACGGGCTTTGCCCTGGCTGGCCCTGTTTAGGCAGGAACACGTGTTCTGTATCCCACATCTCCTGCTGTTTATGTTTTTTAAGTGTAATTGAAGCCTTCAGCCCTAAGCGCTGTGGATCCAGGCCCCCACCAACTTCTTGACAAACTCTTGGCGAGTTTAAGCAGGCGGTTCTTTTGTGCCTTTGCATGTCTTATTTCTTAACCCACAAAGTTAGTCATTTCCATACTGAGCAGGGGCTGTCCAAGAACCTACGTTCAAAGTGATTCTTTCTTGATATCTGTAATGGAGAGATGTTTCCCAGGGAGTGTCAAGTCTGATTTGTGCCTGAAAAGATATTTGTTTTGAAGTAGTGCTTGGTGCAGGGTGGGAATACCTCATCTGCTGTGTTGAGGAATGCAGATGGGGACTGACCCTGCAGGTGGGTCAGTTAATAAGCAAGCAGCCCCTGCTGGGCTGAGGTCAAAGGGATCCTGTCCAGCCAGAGGGATTGGACTCCATTGACCAGCTGGCTCCTGGGATTAACATGGGATTAACAGTTCTCTAGAGTAACTTTCAGGAGCCCCTCATCTTCTCCTCCTGAGCAGACCCTCAGGGCTGGAATCAGGGACCTGGGGGGCAACTGCACACTCAAATTTTCACATTAAATTACACCTCTCAGTACATACTGCAGTTGGACACAGCGTGCTCTGTTTCTGTTTCCAGCTTCCCAGTGCAACGTCAGCTTAAAGAAGCAGAGGAGCCGCAGCATCCTTAGCTCCTTCTTCTGCTGCTTCCGTGATTACAATGTGGAGGCCCCTCCACCCAGCAGCCCCAGTGTGCTTCCGCCACTGGTGGAGGAGAATGGTGGGCTTCAGAAGGTCAGTACTGATGCGGAGCCGTGCACGTCATAAAGCTGCAGCAGCAGCCTGTCTGTTCCATCCTTGATGAACATCCTTAATAAGAATATGCCATAGTGTGTGTACAGCCATTTACTTAAAGAGTTGAAATTACCAAGAAAAGTAACCTTTTTTGATAAAGGGTATCTCATTTAGCAACCAAGGGTTATGTTTGATGGCAGTTAAATGAGTCACTTCACATTTTTATAACATTCTCTCTTGGGAAACTGAATGCATGAAATAGTTAAACAACTAGTAGCAGACTCACAAATATATAAAAAGAGAAACAGAGCTGATAATAAAGAGAAGAGCTGATAATAAAATAATTGCGCTTAACTACCTTGTTTAACAACAAACATGTGTTATATGTTCTTTTGTATGTATCAAATAAAATATGTCAGATTGTCACAATAGGTCAAAAACCAAAATCTACCCACGTGCTGTCTAACAGACACATCTGAAACGAAGTTACTCAGAACAGTTATAAGTATAAGGATGAGGCCAGGGGCATGGTGGCTCATGCCTGTAATCCCAGCACTTTGGGAAGTCGAGGCGGGCAGATCACTTGAGGTCAGTAGTTTGAGCCCAGCCTGGCCAGCATGGCAAAACCCCTTCTCTAGTAAAAACATAAAAATTATCCGGGCGTGGTGGTAGGCACCTGTAATCCCAGCTACTCAGGAGGCTGAGGCTAGAGAATCACTTGAACCCAGGAGGCAGAGGTTACAGTGAGCCAAGATCGCACCACGGCACTCCAGCCTGGGCGACAAGAGTAAAATTAAAAGTACAAGGAAGAAGGATGAGTTTTATACTTGTATACTTGAGAGACCTCATACAAGTATAAATTAAAAGAAAACAAGGGTTACAATTTAATCTCAGTCAAAATGGAATTTCAGGTAAAAATCACTTAAAGATTATTCTTCATCATGAAGCTAGTTGCCATTCGAGGATACAAAAGTCATAAAACTTTATGTTCCAAATAACATGAGCAAAGGACATGAACAGGTAATTCACAAAGTAAGAAATACAGATAGTCAAATGTGAAAAAAGAAAAATGTTGCACACATAAACATATGAAAAATATGTAACATGTTTAGTAATCAAAGAAATGCAAACTAAATAATGAGATACTGCCTTCCAGCTTTCAACTTATCAAAGATATTTTTAAACATAATATTTGGCTTTAGCATGGAGTGGCAGGAGGGAGGGTAGAGAATGTAAATAAGTTTCTGGTTAACAGTGTTAATTGGTGACACCTTTCTGGTGGAAAATTTGGTAATATGATCTTAAAACCTTAAAAAATATCCCTGTTTGTTGATGCAGGGAGTTCACCTTATGGACATAATTATGAATGTGCAAAGATTTAACCTTAAGGTACCATCCAGCATAAATTATAAAACCAAAAAATTATAAGCAGCTTGATGTTCAACAATAGGCAATTGGTTTAAAAAAAACTATAGAATAACTATATAGTCAGATAGCATACAGCCCTTCAAAATGATATGTGGTAAATATTGCTGATATAAAGAAATGGATATAGTGTCTCTCTTGCTCTTTCACACACATACACAAGCATTTATAAGACTAGACGGATGTATGCCAAAATATGAAGAGGTTATCTCAGATTGCTCATACTGGTGGAATTATAGTGAGGATTTTCTCCTTCCCTCTATGCTTTCTCCCCTCAGCTTTCATAAAATCAGTTTAAATTACTTTTATGATTTAAAAAATTATTTTAAAACTACATATGGATGTAAAGAAGGGAATTCTGGGAAGATGATACCTGAGCACATGGCTCTATTAAAATTCCCTCCCAAGATAAACCCAGGGGTGCCTGCTGGGAGAGCCTGGAAAGTGCATGAAGGCCCACAGTTTTTCTGACACCTTTAGGGTAGAGAGCAGGCACAGGATTCATTCCCTCTGGTACTTAGGGAGAAGCAGGGAACCACCAGCAGAGGAAAATGCTTGTGTCTCCCTGAGTCCTTGGACAAACACTCGAATATATAGTCCTGTGAGGTCAACTAGCCAGCAGGAGCTGGCAGATCGCCGTGAAAAGGGCCCGACTGCCCACACAATGTGTGTGGTCCTTGGAGGGGCTGCCCTGGTGAGCTGGATTGCTTCCAGTGCTTGTGCCTTGGAGGAGCCAGTGTATAGGGGCTTTCTTCATCTCTGAGGTTTATTAACTTGGGCTCCGCTGGGCCGTGAAAAAAGCCCTCCTTGCTGGGCCTTGCAGTCCTCCCTCATTTGTCATGTCCCAGAGAGCCTCGTAGACTGACCTGCACAGACACTAAGGGAACATACAACCTGTCGCAAGCAAAGAAAAATGCAGCCTCCACTGAGAAGGTCCAAGTCGAAAAAGCTGGAGTGAGACTCCCACTGAGGTAAAAATAATGGACAAGATGGAAAAGAACTTTAATGAACAACTCAGGAAATGAATTATGAGTGCAAAAGCAACATTTGGAACTTAAAAACTCATGATTTCTAAATATAAAAATTCAGTAAACAAACAGAAAAAGAGAATGGTCGTTGCTGGGAACTGAATTCGTGTTCTGGAAAAGCAAGTGGAAGAAGAAATATCTTACAATTCAGACCAGAAACACAGAGAGGGTACTTGTGAGAGGGGACAGCAGGCATCTAGGAGATGGAACATGCAAATGTTAGGAGTTCCAGAAAGAGAAAAAGTAGTAGAAGAAAATTTTCTTGAGCTGAAAACAAAGCTTGACTCTGCAGATTGAAGGAGCTTACCAGGTCCACAACAGGATTAGTAAAGGAGCACATGCCTAGGTGTATCTGTTGAAATTCTGAAATTTAAGGACAGAGAAATTCTTGCAAGCTACTAGAATAAATTATTTTCGAGGAAAACAATTATATTAGTATCAGACTTCTCATCAGCAACACTAAAAGCCAGAAGACTATGAAAAAATGTTTATAGGCTACTGAGAGAAAAAAATATAAATCCAAAAATTCTGTATGTGACCAAGATATCATTTATCTATTGAGACAAAAGTTTTTAAAATATGTGATGATTCAGAGAGGGAACAAAAATTAATCTGGTTGAGATTGATACTCAGTTATGGTATAATAATTAAAACTATTAGAAATAGGCTGGGTACAGTGGCTCATTCCTGTAATCCCAGGACTTTGAGAGGCCAAGGCAGGAGGATCGCTTCAGCCCAGAAGTTTGAGACTAGCCTGGGCAACATAGGGAAACCGCATCTCTACAAAAAAAATAATAATAATAATTAGCTAGGGGTGGAGGTGTGCACTTGCAGTCTCTGCTGCTGTGGAGGCTGAGGTGGGAGGATTGCTTGAGCCCAGGAGGTCGAGGCTGCAGTGAGCCATGATCGCACCACTGCCCTCCAGCCTGGGTAACAGAGCAAGACCGTGTCTCAAAAAACAATGTAGAAATAAATGTAATTATTAGGAATAGAACTGTAACGAACGGCACAATTGGAAAAGTAGATCTTTAAAATTCACAGAGGGAGAAAGGAGAAATAAACAAATTGAACAAGCCATGAAAATTAAGGAAAGGGAAAAAGAACAAATAACAGATAATAAATAGCAAACATAACGTAAAGAATAGGCATAAGACCAAGTTTGATGAGCCAGATTCTTCTAACAAAGACCAAGACTACATCAGCCTGGTTTGACAAATTCAGCTGTGTGATATTTCCAAGAATATACCTGCCATCAAATAAGAATGATTTTGTCAGTAAATAAAAACTGCTGGGCACAGTGGCTTATGCCTGTAATCCCTACATTTGATAGGCCAAGGAAGGAGGATTACTTGAGGCCTGGAGATTGAGGCTGCAGTGAGCCTTAACTGCCCTCCAGCCCACTGTGGGCTCCAGAGCAAGATCTGTCAAGAAAGGAGGCAGGGATGGGGGGATGTGGGGAGGAAGAAAGCTGACAAACAATAGCTTAGACAAATGGGGGATTATTTTTCTCACATAAAAAGCCTGAGTCAGGTAGTTGCTGGGGTTGATTTAGATTTCTGATGATGTCATCAAGAACCTGTCCTGTCTTTCTGCTCCTCTATCCTTGGTATGTTTGCCTTCATCCTGTTTGCTATTTATGATCTCAAAGTCACAAGCTTCAGATATCATGACTACATTTAAAGGAAAAAGACGGGGAGGGGCGGCACTGGCCATGCCTGTCCCTTTTATGGAAAGTAAACGCTTTCACAGAAAAACCCAGGAGACTTCTGCTTATGTCTTATTGGCCTGACATAGTCCCTGGCAGATTTACTTACTGCCAAAATCATTTCTATCTGATGACAGGTATATTCTTGGAAACACCATACAGCTGAATTAGTCAAACCAATTGGATAAAGCAGTTTGTCACATGGCTACCCAATAGCAACAGGGGAGGAGTTGAGCCTAGCATATTCCTGCTCTCAACAAAATCAGGAGAAGGGAGGAATGACTAATGAGTCGATATGCTAGTCAGAATGGGTTTGTTTAGGCTTCAGTAACAACCTCAGAACCACAGAGGCTTATACAATGAAAGTCTATTTTTCACTCATGCTACTTCTTTATAATGGGTTGGCTGGAGCTGAGCTTCTGTTCTGTGGCACTATCCAGCAGAAATGTCATGCCAGTCACATATATAGTTTAATTTTTTTCCAGTAGCCACATTAATAAAAATATTTTTAAAACAATTGAAATTAATTTTAATAAAATTTTATTTAACTATACCCCAAATATTTCAATATGTAATCAATAGGAAAAAAAACATTTTAGTCAGTTTATATTCTTTTTATCTTACTACTTCAAAATCTGATGTGTACTTTACACCTACAGCACATCTTAATTTGACCAGCCACATTTCGTGTGCTCAGTAGCCACATATGAGTAGGAGCTACCGTACCAGACAGTGTAACCTTCTTATCCTCATTCACGTGCCTACGCTGAGGAAGAACCCATCTCTTTGCTTCCGTGACTGTCACAGCAGGACAAAGGAATGTGATCAATCACACTGGCTGTTAAAGTTTTCACTGAGAAAACTCAGAAAAATATGCTTCATTTCAACTTACATATTGTTGGTTAAAGTAAGTCACAGCCAGGCACAGTGGCTTACGCCTGTAATCCCAACACTTTGGGAGGCCGAGGTGGGCAGATCATCTGAGGTCAGGAGTTTGAGACCAGTAATGCCAACATAGTGAAATCCTGTCTCTACTAAAAATACAGAAATTCGCTGGGCATGGTTGTGGGTACCTATCGTCCCAGCTACTCAGGAGGCTGAGGCGGGAGAATCACTTGAACCTGGGAGGCAGAGGTTGCAGTGAGCCGAGACCGTGCCATTGCACTCCAGCCTGGGCAACAAGAGTGAAATTCCATCTAAGAAAAAAGTAAGTCACATGACTCATGTAACTTCAAGGGGAATGGAAGTGTAATCCTCCCACATATTTAGAAAGAAAACTGGAATTATTTGATGGACAGGCTAATGACAATTACAGTAGGTGACAGTTTCTGACACAGCATCTAACATATAGATAAAGGAAGGTAGAAAATAAAGAATTGGGCAAAATATATAAGGCAGATTAAACAGAAAGAAAGCAAGGGTGGCAACGTTAATATCAGATAAAGCAGAATTCAAAAGCATTATACAGGAAAAATGGGGGCACTTTATGACAAACTGTCTAATACATGAACTGTATAGTAGACCATAAACCTTTATATATAAAATCAACAATGCCGCCAAAGAAGAAAACTAAACATGATAAAAAGCTGTCTTCTAAAAATAAACAGCAAACAACACAGGCAAATCAATGGTAGGTTCTGGCTAATGGAATAAGCCAAGAAAATGAGACAATTGGTATAAACATGGAAAAGACACAAAATTAGTCTTATTTGCAGATGACATGATTGTTTACAAAGAAAACCCAAAAGACTGTACCAAAGTTGATTCAAATCATTAAAAGATTTTGATGTCTCATGTTTATGAGAAATGTGTGTGCTGTTTCTGGATAGAAAGGCTTAAGTTCCTCCGGGGCAAACAGTGTCAAAGAATAGCTGGGAAACTTTTAGAAGAAAACAAGGAAGACAGCTTGCCTTGACAGATGTTAAACCTTATGCATATTAGTGGAATATGTACGGGGGTCCCCTGTAATCGCTATTCCAGGCCCTGGAATTCCAGAGATTCTGACCTCTCCTCTCAGTGTGCATTCCTCATGCTGTCCCTCCCCCGATTTAAAAATCACTGGTAGAGAATTGCCGTAAGTGAAGAGAACATAGTTTGTACCCCAGGCCTGTAGAGGAGAAAAAAGAGGAGAATGGCTGCTATTTAAAAGTTACTTAAAAATAGGGTCTATGTAGATGAAATGATAGGGAGAGATGTCATGGCACCCCTAGAAGCTTTCCTGGGATACTCAGCTGCATCTATCAGGAAACAGAAGCATTTGAAGGCAGTTCCTCCAGCAAAGCTGAGCTCACTTGGACTTGGTGTTCTTTCATGAACTTCCTTCTATTAACATTTGTCAAGATGGCTTTTTAAAGAATTATGATAACTTTGAGTTAATATAGTTAATCCAAAGTGGCAGTGATACATTATTTGCATAACACTTGACTGGTCAGCCCAGGAGACCAGACGACAGAGAAGGAGCCCTGTGAGAGTGGGGTGGCGAATTCCCAGAGGAGGACCCTGTGCCTCTTGCACTCAGCTTGATCAGGACAGAACACAAAGCCTAGGCCTGTTAGATGTGGAAGCAGATTTCAGGTCCAGTTCTACTGCCAAGTCCTTGGGTATCTGTGCCTCTCGGAATTCAGCATGCCAGAGGAAGAGGGAAGGCCATGGACAGAATGGGACAGATGACCTCTAGGGTTCCATCCACCCTGCATATTCACTTTTGCCCTGGAGAAATGGAGATTTGGAGCCTTTGGGTTTCCAGCTGCTTCTGCAGCAGTGGCTTATGGTAGCAGCCATTGCCACCATCACAGCCGCAACCTGGACCTACAGGCCAGAAACCTCCAGAGGCTGGGAGGAGTCAGCACCCCAATGGCAAAGACCACGGAGGACCTCTAAGGGCAAGGACATTGTAAAACGCATTGCTGGACACTCACAAATACATACATTCCTCATGGTGTATATATACACATACATACATGTAAGCTTCAAGGGTCATTTTCAAGCCCAAATATCTTTCTAGATCAGCACCTTTGCTTGCTCATGGTGGGCGTTTTGTCAGGCCCTTCAGATGCATTGTGGTGGTCTTTCAGATTAATATGCTCGTCTCATCGGAAGTATGTTCCGGAGGTGTGCCTCTGTGCAAGGGCTGTCTGCAGTCTCCTACTAGAGCTGCGCTTCTCAACCAGGGATGATTTTGCCCTCCAGGGAACATGTGGCAATGTCTGAAGGCAGACTGCCACTAGAAGGGGAAGGAGCGTCTGCTGACATCTGGTGAGTGGAGGCCAGGGATGCTGTTAAGCATGCTGCAACAAGTAAGACATCCCTCACAAGAGAATGTCACCAGTTCTACTCTAAAGTGAGCCAGCTGCGTGTGGCAGCACACACCTGTAGCCCCAGCTACTCAGGAGGCCGAGGCAGGAGGATGGCTTGAACCAGGAGTTTGAGGCTGCAGTGAGCCATGATCACACCACTGCACTCCAACCTGGGTGACAGCAAGACCCTGTCTGTAAAATAAAATAAAAATAAGGAGACCCAATAGGATTCTGGTTAAAATCTTGTCCACCAAATACTATGCTGTCGTAAAGCACAAAAAGAGGTCGTGTCATTTGCAGCAACGTGGATGGAGCTGGAGGCCATTAATCTAAGCAGACTAATGCAGGAACAGAAAACCAAATACCACACGTTGTCACTTATAAGTGGGAGCTAAACACTGAATACTCATGGACACAAAGAAGTGAGCAAGAGACACTGAGGCCTACTTGAAGGTAGAGGTTAGGAGGAGGGTGAGGATCAAAGACTACTTATTGGGTCCAGCACCTAGTACCTGTGCACTAAACCCCCATGACATGCAGCTTACCATATAGCAAACCTGCACATGGACCCTTGAACCTAAAATAAAAGTGTTTTAAAAAGTGTGTCCTCCACCAAGTATGCCTGTAGGACTTGTGACCTCTCTTGAGTCCCAGTATTAGGAATAATATTATTTAAGAGCTTCTGAAATGAATTTCTCTGTGCAAGTTTCTTGAAAACTTCAATTTATTTGATTGCATTGTCTGTTGGAAAGCAGCATAGCTCTGCCTTGAATGATGTTAAAAGAAAGCTTAAAATCCTTAAGCCCGAAATCTGAAAAAGGAAGGAACCGCGGAGATCATCTCGAGAGGAAATGGTACTTGCTCTTACACTGCAGAGGTGATTACTAGGGGTTGGAGATAACCAAGAAGTTACTCAGTGGTCCTTAGCGTCAAAACAGAGCTCAGAAAGGTACCAGCAGCTGCCGTCACCAGCCATCAGGTTTGGCCCCTTCACGTGAGTCCTCATTATCTCTGTAACCCTCTTAATAAAAGTGGACACATCTTTTCACAAATCCTTCGGTGTACACGGCATGAAGCAGGGCATTGCCTTATTAGGCCATCTAAAAAAGAAGAAACAGAAACTGGAAATGCTTAATGGAAATAAACTGTTTTTTATTAGCATTTATTAACAATGCTGTAATGAAGTGTTTCCATCAATTAGGTTTAGAATGGCTGGCATCTGGGGCTGAGGAATAATGGAGGCCTTTTCTTGGGGCCTAGGTTTTCTTAACACTCCCTGTGAATACAGGTTTTATTCCCCTTAAAGGAGAAAGCTGTCCCCATGTCTGTTTCCTGGGAGGGAACTTCTTGTACCTTGCCTTGGTCCCTCTCCCAGTCTTCCCCAGAGAACCTCCTGGAATGACTAGGGGGTCATTGTAATCTGGTGAACGTGTCTCCCATTCCCTGCATGTGAGATTGACTTAGTCTTTTTAGGGAAAAACTTGCTTAGAAGAAAAAACAAACAGTTATTAGAGGGAATCAAGGATTAAAGCATGAGTTTTTATTTTTGTTTTTAAATTAAGGATTGCATTCCTGGGAGTAAGGGAGGTGCTATTTAAATACACAAAATGGTTTGTGAGCCTCAGGAGTCCAGCCTGGCTTGTTAGGAGAGGGGGTGTCTGAGATACAGAAGGAGCCTCGCCTTCACTGTGGAAAATTTTCAGGTTCCTCCTGTTCATTAAACACCACCAAGGTACAGAGAGCAGCTCCTGCAGCTGCTGTGCTCGAGAGGGCTTTGAAGTTTCTTTTGAGAATATGATCTTCTCTTCAAACCTGACAATGATTTTTTTTTCTTTTTCCTCAGGGTGACCAGAGGCAGGTCATTCCCATACCAAGTGTATGTATATTTATCTAATTTTATTTATTAAAACAGTCATAAAATCTTGTGGCTTTGGGCCTACTGATATATAGGATTTTTAAAATGTTTATTGCTTGTGTTGAGTTTATCATGTGGTATAAACAACTCTGTTTTGTTAAAAAGAAAACTGAAGCTAGATTTTAAACTGAGAGCAGGAAGTTCTGTACAGAGACAGTTTCCTTTCTCAGGAACAGCAGGGCAGCCAGCATCCATTAACCCAATTCCCATTTTTCCTTTCTCTCTGAGAAGTGCCTCCAAGCTGAACAAGCTGAGGTTGCTCAAAGCCCTCACCCACACCCCACCATCTTAGCCTCAACTCCATAGATTGGCGGGAACATTCTTTGCCCAGACACAGTTCTCTGCAGCAGGTTCAGTCCCAGTGGAACTAGGCTCACCAAGCCCAGGTCCCAGGTGACCATACCATTTCTAACTTATCAGTGTTGGTAGCATGCCTGGAGCTCCGAGATCAGAAAAGTCACCCTAATTATATTCTCTGAACTTTCGGGACCCACCCCACAGGCCTGCTGTGCTGAAACTCTGCCCCAGCTGGGCACTCCCTGAGGCCACCCCTACTTCTGTTGTCAACTCTGAAATTTGTTCCACCCTAGCACAGTCCTGCACCAGCCACCCCTCAGCCATCCGCTGTCCCCGCTGTCCCTTCTCTTCCTCCTGCTCTGCCAGCAGAGTCACCCAGCCTGAGGCTGGTCAGCAAGAAGCAAACTGAAGACTGACTCCCAAAAGAAACTTACAGTTGAGATGTCTGTATCAAACAAGACCTTTCAAATAATCTTATGTCCTTAGAGAAGGATTTAGGTTTCAAAATGTGTCTATATAATTTATTTTTTAGTCTGCAAAGATGATCAGATTCAGATTACTGGATTCAACTCTGTTCATTTCTCTTTCCTTGGAGTTTTTCACATATTTTCCTGGGAACATCCAATAGACACAGCAATCTTACATTGAAAGGAGTGGATTTCATGCATGCAGGTTGACTCCAAAGCTTTGGTAGTACATGTCACTTACAAATTGCCCAAAAAGTTTACAGTAATTTCATTTTTCTCAAAACTCTAACTCTTCATTGACTAACAAGTTGCAAGAGTTTGTGGAGTGATTCTGACTTTGCCCATATGCCTGAGGGTTGGGCTTTGTTGGGAAAACTGGCTTTGATCAAAAAGACTGACTTAGCAACACAACTTTTTATCCAGAGTTTGTGGGAGATGCCCAGCAGAGTTACTACCAGAAAACTCTTTAACCTTTATACAAAGTGGTTTTTGATATTATTTTCCTTCAAAGGTACCTACATTAAACAGATGGCAGGTACCATCTCTCCTTCTACCTTCAAGATCACTATTACTGTTTTTTCCTAAAGCTAATTGGCAGCCATGTGCAAAGTTAAGTGCAGAACAAAAGCACTTGTCAGTACTAAAACCCCTCTGAAGAAACAGACCCTTTTCCCACAAATCTAAACTCAGCCATGTACAGAATTCTGAAATAAGATAAACAAGAAAATTCCTTATGTAATTGATCCTAGTAATAGATCAATAAACTGCTGACTGTCCTACACATGAGATGTTGTTGGGTCAGGCCATGTGAACCTCTGAACTATTTGCCCGAAGAAACAAAGCTGAGCTGAAGGCACTTGCATTTTTGAATGATGAGCTCCAGAAAAGCAGTGGGTACAGTGTGATCTCCACTGCCTGCTTTGCATATAGGATTGATCCCAAGTCCATCCCGGGCCAGCTAAACACTGGAATCAAGTCTTGGGAGCCCCTGCAAAATCTGCACCTACCTGGAAAGGCCCCAGATTACATAAGCAGAGTGATCCTGGCCTTTCTGAACCTCTGGGGGACCTGGTCAGTGCTGGGAGCCCTGAGAGCTTAGGGTGCCATATACAGGACCAGAAATCCAGGCTTGTGCTGAGCCTCCAAACTAGATACCACAACCTGCAAGCTTTCTTCAGGCGCTGAAGCTAAAGAATGCCTCTAAGCCTGTAACCAGAGCAGCTCCAGCTGGGGTCCCCATCTGTCCCTGTCACCTCACCCCTCTTTTTTCATTTGTGTGCTGCCCTGTTTGTATATGTAGGTTTGGTCTTCTAATTTTTTACTAACCAATAATTCAAGCTCATGGTTAATTTTTAAATATTGCAAGATTTGGGATTAACACCTGTGGAAATACATACGTAAATGAAGCTGAAAGATTAAAGTAAAAGGAAAATATCCCTCAACATAATCCTACTACCTAGAATAACCACTTTTAATGCATGTCATGTATCCTTCCAGAAGTTTTCCAGACAAACACAAACATATTTACATAAATGAAGTTGTGTTGTATCCACCATTCTGCAAATTGCTTGTTGTTTTCTAACAAGATGTCTTAAACATCTTTCCAAATATTAGTAGGTATATATCTACCTCATTGTTTTATATTTCATTGATGGCATTTATAATAGCACTTTTGTGCTATTATAAATATTTCTCTTAAAAATATCCTCATTTTGGCCGGGCACAGTGGCTCATGCCTGTAATCCCAGCACTTTGGGAGGCCGAGGCAGGCGGATCACGAGGTCAGGAGATCCAGACCAGCCCGGCCAAGATGGTGAAACCACATCTCTACTAAAAATACAAAAAAAAATTAGCTGAATGTTGTGGCACACACCTGTAGTCCCAGCTACTCTGGAGTCTGAAGCAGGAGAATCGCTTGACTAGGGAGGTGGAGGTTGCAGTGAGCCAAGACAGTACCATTACACTCCAGTCTGGGCAACAGAGTGAGACTCTGTCTCCAAAAAAAAAAAAAAATCCTCATTTCTGTGTGCTTGTGGACTTGTTTGTGATCAGTTTCTATCTGTGGAAATGCTAGGTCAAAGGATATATTTTACAGTATTGGTACATTAAAGCCAAATTGTCCTCCAAAAGCCTATGCTAATTTACATTCCCATGAAGTATCTATGAGATTGCCTCCTAGCCTTCCTGAAAATGATTATCAAATGTTTCAATCTTTGCTAATCTGAAAGTAATGAATGGTATCAGGCCGGGCGCAGTGACTCACACCTGTAAACTCAGCGCTTGGGGAGGCCGCAGAGGGCGGATTGCTTGAACTCAGAAGTCTGCAACCAGCCTGGGCAACATGGTGAAACGCTATCTCTATAAAATATACAAAAAATTAACTGAGCATGGTGGCATGTGCCTGTAGTCTCAGCTTCTTGGGAGGATCATGAAACCCCATCTCTATAAAAAAATACAAAAAGTTAACCGGGCATGGTGTCACGGGCCTGTAGTCCCAACTACTTGGGAAGATTGCTTGAGCCTGGGAGGCGGAGGTTGCAGTGAGCCGAGATGGTACCACTGCACTTTAGCCTGGCCTAGAGAGCCAGGCCCTGTCTCAAAAAAAAGATTGGTATCAATTTATTACTTTGATTTGCATTTCTTTATGACTCAGTTTGGGCAGCTTTTCACAAGTTCATTGGCTATCTTTCTTCTTCTCTATTCATTTCTTCTTGTTTTTTATGCTGTGATGCTTATTGTTTTAAATTTTAAGGCAATTAGTCCTTTTCCCCAGATGTATGATATATCTTTTGGCCTTATTTATTTATAATTATTTTGGCCACAAGGAAGCTTTAGTTTTATTTAAATAAATATTAATGTCATCCTTTATGTTCTCTAATTTTATATTTTCTTCTAGTATTTTAACAGTTTTTAATCGTTTCACCATTACACCTTTAAATCTTCGATCCATTTGGCATGTATGTTGGTGTAAGGCATGAAGTAGGAAACTATCTTTTTTCCCAAGTGGCTACTGAGTTATCCCAGCACCATTTGTTGAGTAATCATGTTTTGCACACCTAAGGGGAATGACATCTTTATCTTTACCATTAGTATCATTCACCTCCCGACTGCGGGCTGGGATTTACTAGGAAGCTTCATGGGCTCTTTGGTGAAAGGTGTTGAAGAATAAAGAAAAGATGCAGAGGGAAGGAAAGTTTGAAACCAAGTATGGATGGTTAAGGCTTGAGGTGAGCATTAGAATGCCTTGGCCCCAGTGAGGAATGCCACTGGGCTGTGACCTGAGTCCTACCGATCCCACACTTTGCTTAAATTACACCCCACACTGATGCCCCCAAACGTGACGCTGGCAGCGTAACAGCCATAAAAATACTCAAAGGGGAGAGGACTTGTTTTCTAACAGCTATGTTTCTATGCTGTTTGTCTAAGGCTTTTAATACAGCAGTAGTACACTTCTTTCCACGAAAACATTATGAAGCACGTACAAGCATGATAGCTATTCTAATTAAAACCAGTCTAGAGTTCCTCTTGCTCCCCGCCATGTTAGGCCCTGACATCTGCCCTGAGCTCTGAGGGCTTGGGGAGCACAGCGTGCAGACCTTGAGCCTGAGAAATCTTAAGTAAGGAAACAATAATCCAATGTACAGGAAGAGGTGCTACATCTGTAAGATTTATGAGTTTGTGGGGTGGGCACTCCAAGAGGAAATAAGCTTAGTGTTAACTATTCACGGCTGCCAGTTGTCTGCCAAGGACAGGAAATTTCAGATTTACTCCCAGGAAGAGAATAGGGATGAATACCATTCCCAAATCGTGGATGACAAGCCATGGTCTTTTCCTCCTCCACCCACCGCCCAGAACTGCTCTTTGTGTACATTTGAACAAGTCATTTTGTATAAGAAAGACCTTTCCTGATATGACTGGTATGTCTCTTGTTCTTCAGCTTTATGAAGACCTCAGAGAAAACTTGGTTCAGGTCATTTCTTTGGTAATGATTCAAGCATCACCTGAACAGATCAATTGAAGCAACAAAGCACTGTGTATTGCCATTATATAGCATCCTTACATTTCCAAGGACGCAGCTGTCCCAAAGAATTCTTACCCATGGGCTGAAGAATTTGCATTAATCTAAAGCCAAGCTCCCAGGAAGCTGTATGCATTTAGGAAACAGCAGAGGATTAATGGAACCTCCTAGCCTGTTGCCCCCCAGCTTAGCCTTGTTCCCTGCAGCACAAGTTAAAATCAGTAGCTTGCTTAATATGAGTCTCACCCTTTTTATCCTTCTCCATCTTTTCTTTCTTAGACAGTACCGTGAAGTGTTTTACTTTCTGTAATGCCTGTAAAGTGTGGGTTAACTGTGCTAAGAAAGTAATCTTTATTCTTGGGTTTGGAAAATGAGCCACTTTTGGCAGATCTTTGATGTTTTCAGAGATGCTAGGGATAGAATTTCTAGATCCTTATTTTCCAGGCTAACAATTAAATTAATAAGTTAAAATGTTTCAGTAGTTCATAAACGTATAGGAAAAGGACTGGATAGATAGTAAAGTAAAAAGGGAGACATGGAAAAGAGAATGATTGCATTTTACTCTCAGGTGTCTATAATCTTTACAATGAGAATGTATTTTTATGTTAACTAATTGTGTAATAAAAATTAAAACAACTTTTATTCTGGTCACAAGCAGGCTTTCTGCTCTGTCCCAAACAACAGAAATGACCCCCATCCTCTCTACTGTCTTTACTTAGCCCATCACACTCTGCCTTTTTAAAACACCCTTTGATACAGAACTTTGCAAATTTAATTTTTTAAATAACCTGCTGACTCACTGGTTTGTAATAAAGGATAGAGTCCTTTCTAGGTCCTCTAATTCCATGCCTGTCTCCAAGATACATCCCCACATCCCTTCCCAGTGCTGCAGGGTTAGGGAGGATTGCTTCCAGCTGAGAGAGGTGGGAGGCCACAAAGTCTTTTACTTCTGGATGACGTTGGCAGGGAAGAAACACCCACGCTCTCTAGAGAGAACCCTCTGAAGTTAGAAACACTCGTGTCTCCACATGTAGCCTCTTCCTGGGCAACCCTGGACAGTCCCTCTCTGCCAAGATGATCATTGTACTTGGCAAATGTACCTAACCTATTGATTGCCTATGTTACATTCACTATTGAACCAGCTGATGTCCAAAATTAACTTTTTGGTCATTGACTAACTTTCAGCTTGAACCAAAAAATAGAGGAAATAGCCATGTAAAAGGAAATACAATTATATTTTATTTTTTTCTTGTTTTATTTGATGAACTAAATTGTCCATTCTTCAGGGGCTCAGAATAGATTTCCTTGTGTTTTGTTTTGCATCAAATATTAAAGAGAGTATGACCTTCTTTGTAAGTCAGAAAATTAATTAGTTAATATTGGATATTTAATATGCCACACAGCTGACTAAAATACTTAAGATCATTTCTAGAATGAGGCAAAGCCTAAAGAAATAAATACTCTAAATTGAGTGAGGTTGGTTGAAAATACTTAGCATTTTATGGTTGGCTGAAGATAGCCAGCATTTTATTAACTCTTTATGACTTCTTTATCACAAGATTTGAGTCACCTGCTACAAAGACACATAAATAGATTGTTTGGTCAACACACAACATGTGGATTAAAGTATAACTTTCAGAGGCAGAGAATCCAAGAGGTAAAAATAACACATTGCTCAGTATTACACCCGTGTGGCAGCACGAGGCGGGAGTGTACCTGGATTAGTTTTGTTTCCTAGTGTTGGGGTAACTCTAGCCTGCATTTTGCTGGTAGGCCTATAGTTCCTCTTCAAGTTTTTTAAAAATCTGTCACAAAAAAAAAAAAAAGAAAGAAAGAAAAGAAATTATGTGATTCCAACATAGCTCTAAACTCTACATGTGTGCCACAGTGAATTTCAGGCAAAATATGACCCCACGAAAGAGACCTCCATTTAACAGTACCTATTGTAATTAAATACTCATTCTTGTGTAATCCATTTTAATACTAATTGTAGCCACCAATATATGTGCGAGGCAAAATACTGGGTGTGTTACTGCCATCATAACTGGTAACAGCCTTTCATGCTAGGTGTTATTGTCCCAATTTACAACCAAGAAAGTGACAGGGCTGATGATCAAAACCAGGTTTGTCTGGTTCCAAAGCCGAGGACTTCATAGTAGTCATTCAAATAGTGGCACAGTATTTGGTAGAACTTCAGTTGCAAACTGTTTATTCCTATTGTTCTTAATAAAAGTCCATTACATGCTTGACCAAGCATTTAAATGTTTGTTTTCATTAATACCCTTAATAACGTAAATAGCATAATACAATACTGGTTGGTTTGTCTTTTACATAAAGGTAATACTGATTTATTTTTCCCTTTTAGCCGCCAGCTAAGTACCTCCTTCCAGAGGTGACGGTGCTTGACTATGGAAAGAAATGTGTGGTCATTGATTTAGATGAAACATTGGTGCACAGTTCGTTTAAGGTAAATCAACATAAAAACAATCTGGATCTTTGTGATTTGATCACCGTTGTATGGGAAAATGGAAAATAAAAATGTGTGACTTCACTCTTCATGTAGAAATCCCAGCAGCTGCTTATTAACCCAGGTGAACATTAACGAAAGTAGTTGAATATTAACATAATTAGTCTGGAAAGAAAACACTAAGCTACCAACATCACTGGGATCATTCTTACTTAGGAGGTTTGCATTTTTCAATATATTCTAAACCCTGCAGAAATACTTTTTGGGTGGCATGAGGGACTCATGCCCTCAGGACACTGTTTGTATTTGTCAAGATGACCAGAGTGCTCTGCGTTTTATTGGGAGGCCAAGAGGGCTCTGTTGGAAACTGTCAGATGACCGCGTATCCTGGAGATTTTCCCAGATTGATTTTTGAAAGATGCCCAACTCTGAAGAAGACTTCTAGACTTCAGGGCATCTGAACAGATTCATCCACTTACTTTGAGCATCTTCCTGACAAGAGGTGGCTGGGGTTTTTTACAAGCTTCACAGCTAAATGAGCACCTACCTTCGGGACTTGCCTCCTGAAGGGTGTGGAGGGCAGATGCTCTTCCTTCCTGTCACCTTCCCTGATCTCCGTCTTCCTGCTGGAAAAACAGCAGAAATGGCCTCCATGCAGGAAGACCTGTGGCAACACTGTTAAAGATTGAGTTAATTAACCTTTTTTTTTTTTTTTTTTTTTTTTTTACGTGAAATAAATTGTTTAAAAGAGGCAAATGATGAAAGATTGGAAATGGTGGGTTGGTGTGTTGGGGGAAACAAGCAGGTGTTTAGGATTCTGGTCTTGTTTTCTTTGGGTTATTTCTGGTGATGGGACTGCTCTATCATTATACCGCACGCCTCTTTCCCCTCCAGCCTGGGACTCCCCTTCACTGAGAGACATGAAGGTCACCATCCATGATGGGGTGTGTGTCTCACATGAACCATACTCTTTCCTTACAGGTTGTAGGAAGCAGAAGAGCTGTCAAATATGCCTGAACACCTTTCTACCAGAAACATCCTTCTTTGTTCTCACTAAACGGAGACCTTTTTTGATAGGACAGAGCCCATCTTTGAGTCCTTTGGAGAGTGGAGAAGAGAAATGGCCTCTAGCAGTGAGAAATGGCCTTGTTCTGGCCACTGGGGCATGCAGGGATTACCTTATTCCCTGGCACTTGAGGGCCAGGCCCTTCCAGTGTTGATCCAGGGGATATGGTGACCTTGTGTCCCAGCTTAACCCTAGACAGCATTGGAAGCCGTTTCTCCCCCATGGGCAAGTTGCTCAGGACTTTTCCAAGTCTGTGTGAAAGAAAGCCCTTCAGAGCAGGGGTCGGTTGCCATCACAGCATAGAGAACCTCCTCCCAAGCAGCTGTGGGAGTGTGGGGAACACTGGCCAGATGACCCAATGCTACTGAGGGTTCCTGGCTCCAAAGGCAGGGCCTTGGCACTCCCACTGTCTCTAGGGCCTGCTGAGAGGGCATTGATGCCATGAGCTAATGTGAATGACATCTCATTTCTTCCCTCCCCTGGCCTGCCTACATTTGCAACCAGAATATTCTTTGTGTTTTTTAAAGTTCTGGGCATTTCAAAGCCCTTTGAGAATCTGAAAGCTATAAACGCTCTCCCCCTTGAAAACATATGTTTGTACAACGCACAGCCTCATGGATCCCAAGAGAAGACCCCTGGCCGTACCAGGGCCTCCTTTACGCCACCGGGAGAGGGGAGGGGAAGGACGGTGCTTGCTGTGAGCTGGAGAATGATTTTTCTCTTTTAATATACTCTGCGGAATGTGGTTCCATAATCTAATGCCTTGGGAGAGTCTCTTCTTTTGGTCTTTCCTCTTGTTTTTTAGTATGATTCTGATTTTAGTTGTGAAATTACATGATATTGAACTCATCCTTGGCCTTCCAACTCTGGGAGTAAACAGTGGGCGTAAGCTAAGTGCTTAGTAATGGTGCCGTGATGTAGCATTGTCCACGTTTTTTATTTTGTTTTGTTTTGAGTTTATGTATCAGTGAAGAGGGTTTGTGTGTACTGTGACGGGCTTAAAAGCAGACCTCAGTTCAGAGTCTGACTGGAGATGCTGTTCCCCCACCCCCGCCCAGTGGCCACCCCACACACCTTCTCCTTCCTTCTGTCTCTCCCCTCTTGTCCAGGGGTTGGCAGGCTGATGATTCAGTTGGGCCTGTTCATTTAAGTAGTTTTGTACCTAATTTGTGGAATTCCATTGAGAACTGTGTGTAAGTTCACCGTTGAGAACACAATGACTGCGGAAGAATCTTATTTGCATGTTAAATGTCATTAATATTGTGAAAGAGTTATTTTAAATATCCAGAAGTTTGTGGGTGTGCTAGATGTTGTGTTCATTGGAGCAGAGCAGTATAGGGTGGGCTGGCTCTCCACCCCCACCCAAGGCAGGAACTGCTGCCAGGCTACCTGGGAGGGCCTGAAATCACTGATTCTCAGGATTGGTTGGGGCCATGGGCATGCATCAGACCCATCATAGTAGCTAAGGAAGAGAGGAGAAACAGATTCAGGGGAGAAGAGCCTACCCCAGGGTGTGGCCTGTGGCCTCTGACTTTACCCCCACATGGCTTTGGCACTGCTTTGAGTCCATGTGGCCAGCATCAGCTGAGCAGCCCATCACAGGGCAGCCCCCAGTTGTGGGTCCAAGTACAGTTTTCCCTCAAGCAGCACTGTCCTCTGAGCCCATCAGGTGCTCAGCTTCTCCCTCTGGTGGCTAGCGTGGTTCCCTGTCACCCCAGCAGGACCCGGGGCAAGAGCTGGAGTTTTCAGGAGCCCCATCCTCTGGCCGGGCAGTGCCACACATTTTGGTTGAGGCCAGGCAGGTGATATTGGGATCAAGATGCTGAAAATGTAATGACATTCAGAATGGAAAATAATGTGCTTTCCTGCTTGTGCTTATTTTAAGGAACCAAGGCATGCGTCAGCATCCTCCTCCTGAACTGTTTTTTCCAATAACCAAAGCATTGGTCCAGGCAAGCTTTTTTCTTGCTAAAATTTCCAGGGTTTTTTTGTTCTTTCAGACATATTAATTACAGTCTCTTTTCTCTCTAGCCTATTAGTAATGCTGATTTTATTGTTCCGGTTGAAATCGATGGAACTATACATCAGGTAAGAAATTGACACGAAATTTGAGTTTCAGTTAAGATTTTTTAGTAATTACATATCCTATGAACTTTATTTCTAAATTCTCATTTCAGTAATAATTACTGAATCAAAAGGAAGCATACTGTAATAAATACAATGTTTTTCTGCTTTTTTTCACTCCAATGAATTTATTTTATACTGAGATTATAAGGAAAACGATAGCCGTAAATATTAGGCGTGGTTACAAGTTCAAACAGTTCTTTGATTTGAAGCAGACTTTCAGAAGTTTCCATATCCCCACTGGCCTAGCGTGATGGTCTAATTCACTTCCTCATGTGATTGCTTTCAGCTACTTTCCTAACAGGCAGCAGGAAAATGCCACAAGTCACCCACTTATGGTGGATTCTCGGGAAAAAGTGTCCATTTTCAATGCCAGCTGCGCCAGACTGATCTTATCATTCCTGCATCGTTTTCTCCAGTGAATCTTTAGCAAATACCCAGCCCAAAAGAAAAAGGGGGGAGGGTGTGAGTTTTCGGATCCGCAGGCTGCTATGAATAAAGATGTCGTAGTCAGTTGGCATGCGTCTTTGTCTTCGTTGCTTCTGATTTTTTTTTTCCTTATCTGCATAAAGCTTTTCCGGAAATAGCTTCATTTATGAACAAATTGGAAACGTTGTAGGAAAAGTAGCCTTAGAGGTTGAAGCCGGGGAGCTTTCGTCAGGTTTTCCACAGGGAGGATCTAACCATATTCCTTGTCAAGTCTAAGGTCTTAAAGGGAGAGTATCTGGCCTGATAGCTCAGGAAGGCAACTTCCTTGGTACTTGAGTTACAACAGGATGTCTTTTCTTAGCAATGTCAGTAGTCTTTGGTTCTTAAGTGTGAGGTGTCAGAACTGGTGAAGGCTTGGGAATCAGCTGGTCCAACCACCTCATTGTCTAGATGGAGAAACTAAGGCTCCACCGGGGAAGGGATTAGTTCAGGGTCATAGAATGGGAAGAATTAAAATGAAAATTCCAGTCTCCTGCCTCCTGGCCCAAGTCTCTTTTCTCCCATGTCCTTGCTTTCTTGCTTATTCTCCAGGATGTCCTGCCAGGAAATAGTCCCTGGGAGAGGCAGCTTTTTCCCTAGTGTTTCCACACTTCATGCTTTTAAAAGCCATCACAGAGCCAAAACGACAGGCACTTGGGCATTTAACATTTGCAAAAGCATCAACTGAATTAACTCTGCATCTGAGAAGCAGTTAAGGCTTCTGCATGGATCATCTTGGCTTGTGTTACATAGTGCTCATGATGAGACAAAGGAGAGGCTGCCCAATGGCATGGCAAGAATTAGGAGAGAAATTAATCCTTCGTACCATATGACTGTAAGCGTGACCGGCCTGCCCACTGCTGACCCATTCTTGCAGGAGCCACTGTAGCTCCTCCATCTTGCCTGTGCTGTGATACCACAAGGTCCCAGGGCTGAGGTCAGAAATTCTCTCCCGAGGGAATGAAACCACAGGCGCCAAGGGCAGGAGGACCAAAGCCCTGGCGAAGGCCGTGGCCTCGTTCAAGTAATCCAGGATAGGCTGTGCAGGTCCCAATGGGCCTATTCTTGGTTACTTGCACAGGGACGCGGGCCTGGACGCCGGCATCCGGGCTCAGGACTCCCCCTCTCTGCCAGAGGCACCAACGCCAGAGTTCCCAAATCAGTCTCCTGCCCTTTGCATGTAGCAAAGCTTGCTTTCCAAGCAGGACTCCCAGAGAGACTGAGGACCACAGGCCACACCCATTTGCTGGCAACGAGGAGTCTTGTGGACAGAGTGGGAATCTGGAACTGTTGCAGCCACAGGCCCTGCCCTCAGCGCCACCCCAGCCTCCCAGATCCCCAGAGCTGTGTTGAAACCCACTCTGTGACATCCTGTTCCTCCAGACCCCTGTCCACCTCCTTCTTCCAGTCACCCATAAGTTTCCCAGTGATTCCTGGCCCTGTTGAGCTCCTGCTTCTGGCACCTTGAAAATGACTTTGTTCTGTGTAGAATTCCTCAGCCAGCAGCACACCCAGCATGTGGTGCAGAGCTCCCATCTCCCCTCTGCTCCTCCCGCCATTCTCACCTGCTCCCTCTGCCATTCAAGGCCCTAACGTGCCCACCATGACCTGCCTCTCACTTCATCTTCAGCCACGTCCTCTCCCAACCCTGCTGCCCCCACTTCTCTCACTGCCTCTGACGGCTGGGCGCACAGCCTGGCTGCTCTCTAACATCCCAAGTAACCTCAGGCTTCGGGTCTCATGCTCCTACTGTTTTTCTCTGCCTGGAAGCTCACTTCTTCTCATCCTTATTGGCCTGGTGAACTCCTATTTATCCTTCAAGGTCCAGGCCAAATGTTGTCTTCCATGATCCCCTCTCCTTGTGAGGGGAGTTAATTGTCCATAATGTATCCCTCTACTGCGATTTTCATTATACCGTGTTTATTTTTATATGTTTTTGCATGTGTCCACCCTAGAATGTGAGCTCTTCAAGGACAAGGCCTGTGTTTTATTCGTCTTTGCAACCGCATCAGGCTGAGCTCAGAGCTGGGGCTCAGTAAATAATGCTGAATTGAATTTTAAAGAGTTTGATTTATTTTAGTGAAGTGGCTAATTTCAAACCGAATTTATTCAAGTTTGAATTCGTTCTTCCCTCCTCCCACTTCCTCTGTGTTCTCTCACCAGCTTCGCCTTCCCTCCCATCACCCTTGTTTCCCCAGATTCATTCAGGCACCCTAATCAGGAGCCTATGTATGGTCTGAAGCCTGGCCTCACTTCTCCCCACTGGCCTGGCCTGGTCAAAAGGGTACACAGAGTCCAGCCATTCTAGAAAAGGTTACTCTTTGCACCCCTCTGCTCAGAGACGCCTCCTGATGGATTACTTCTGGGGTCCAAGAATAGGATGGATTCACATCCCCTGACACGTACCAAGCCTAACCTTTATGGTGGCACAGAGACAGCTTCCCAAGCTACAAGAAAGCCTCTTCTTGCGGCTTTGCTGGGCCTGTGAGTCAACCCCAGGCCTTCCTAGTGAGGGGGATGCCCATCCAGGACAGGAGGTGGCAGCCAGAGTAATCCCAGACCTGCTGGGCAGTAGACTGGGCCTGGACCTCTTAAAGGACAACACCAAGAGTGTGGCCTGTGCCCACATAGGTCCCAACCCTCAGCAGGTGCTGGGAAACACACATGAGATGTGAGTCATTACACGCAAACATGGTACAATCCTTCCACTTGCTGGCCCTGAAGACCCTCCACACCGTGGTCAGCTTCTCGTTTTCCCTTAGGAAGGGCGTCTGCAGCGAACTCAGCTCTGGAGCCCCATCTGAGGAGTGATGTGTGACTCCAAAGCCCCTCAAATAGTCTGGGCCTCTGCCTGCTGTGCACAGGCCTGGGGGAGGGAGGCAGGAACCTTTGCAGCAGTTCTTCCTACAGTGGGCATTTGGGCCCTGGGCCATCCCCAGCAACTGCCACATCTGACCAGCCTGCTGTCTCCTGCCATTGCAGGTGTATGTGCTGAAGCGGCCACACGTGGACGAGTTCCTCCAGAGGATGGGGCAGCTTTTTGAATGTGTGCTTTTTACCGCCAGCTTGGCCAAGGTGAGTCCTGCTTCCCAGCTCCACACTCCCAGCCCCTCCACCCCACCCCCAATCTGTCAAGCAGCCCTTTGTTTTGGTGGGGGAAGCTATTTCTATGGTGACAGGTTCCCACCCCAGATGGGATGGATGCAGGCCATGTGCATGGTGCCAGCCTGAAAGGCTTCTGGGTTACCATGGTGACAGGGAGCACTTAGAACAAATGCTCCATGAAGTTGTTGTGTGCAGCCACCTGAAGCTGGGTGTCCACAGTCCAGAGAATCACAAACAGGTCCAGTGTTACAGACAAAAGATGGTGTACTCCTCAACCATTGACTGTCAACCAAAAGCTAGAGGCCCCTGTGTCCTTGGGTTTTGCTTTCACAGATTTGAGGGAGAAGCAAGTAAAAGATAAGTGTTGGAGACTCACCCACATGGATGGGCTGAATGAGAGTTCCGACTGCCCTAGTGAGCTGTGTGGTCTGAGGCAAGTTACTTCTCATTTGGGTTTCTTCTATAAATTGGAGATAATTCCATCTACCCTGAGGCTAGATCACATGAAATCACAGACGTCAAGGACTTACTTAGCGCAACGTCTGATTCACATACAGCTAGTCTTCACTGAGCACTTGCTCTGTTCCACATACCGTGCTGGGCATTGTCACGTGGCAAGCACTCCTGATGTTCATTGTTTTCTGTTATAATTGTTTATTGATGATGATAGGCCGGGCACGGTGGCTCACGCCTGTAATCCCAGCACTTTGGGAGACCAAGGAGGGCGAGGTCAGGAGTGCAAGACCAGCCTGTCCAACATGGTGAAACCCCGTCTCTACTCAAAATACAAAAATTAGCTGGGCATGGTGGCAGGCACCTGTAATCCCAGCTACTCGGGAGGCTGAGGCAGGAGAATTACTTGAACCCAGCAGGCAGAGGTTGCAGTGAGCTGAGATTACGCCACTGTGCTCCACCCTGGGTGACAGAATGAGAGTCCATCTCAAAAATATATATACATATGTTATTGATGATGATAAAAATCATTGAGATTCATCTTGATCCTAAAGCTTGGTGTGAATCTGACCTAACATCTAAACTGGCTCTGACCAAACAGAATGGTTTCTCTGTCCTGTCCACTGTTTAAGGAAACTAGCAGGTTCCCAAGCCTCCCAGTGTGGCTTGGTGTCCCCCTTCACAGGTGTGGCAGGGTGCCGTGCTGCGTGGGGCAGGCAGGGTCGGCCTTGACCGTTCCCACACGCTGACTCTGATGGGCTGACACCATCCGTTTGTTGGTAGCACCACAGTTGTCTCCATGGGCATCTCGGGACACTGAGTGGTCCCAAAGATGAGTTTTCTGGGGCCCACGTTGAACATTTGCGTGTCTCCAGGACATCACACCGCAGGTTCCTCTGCCATGTCCTGCTTCTGGATGGCGTCCTGGTCCCCACACTCCCTTCTCTTCCTCTGCATGTTCCACTGCTTTGCTAGCCTGGCCATTGCTGGTCGGGTCCATCTCTGTGATGACCGAGGGGAGGGAGAGCCCCACTTGCACAAATGCTGCCAGACTCATCACCAGGCCTGAGAGCATGAGCCAGTGGAGTGGGATTCGAGATCCTTGTCTTTATTTTTGCATGTCAAGAAGAGAACAAGGCGTCGGGGAAAATACAATCTTCCCAGTGGGTAATCTTTCAGATGAGTGGTAGCAAGACGAATTGTTATCTGTAGCGGCAGTGGCTCTTCCAACGGCGTTCTAGATGCTAAAGAGCCTAAAGTGATAACCAAAGAAATCCACAGGAAGATTGCACCAGTTGCAGCAAAGTGAGAGTTGTTTTTTATTTGGGAAAATCGAAAACACTCTTCCTTGGCACTGTCCCCAGCATTTGCTAAAACATCCTTGTTCGGTTTCTCTTCCTGGACGGCTCGCACCTGCCCCTCCATCTGTCTCTTCAGCCCTTCTCTTGCTGCTACCCCAGCCTAGCTGAGCCAAACCAGATTCCCAGTGCAGACTTCAACCCTCTTTCCTCCCTGATGTGCCCGTCCTGCTGATGGGTGGTCATGCCGCCGTCCTTGGCTCTGGGCTCAGCTCCCAGCCAGCAGTAGTGGTGCCGTGGACCTCTTTGCCTGCTGTCAAGGGGCCTGCAGGAACATCAAGCTGACTGTCGTAGCCTTTCAGTATCTGCTTCGTCGTTCCTTCATTCACCCAGCAAATATGTACTTAGTACCTGTTATGTATCAGGCACAGCACTATATACTAGGCATATAGCAGAGAAGAAAAGAGACAAAGTCCCTGCCCTTGTGCAGCTTACATTCTTTACATTCATCCTCTAAGGCCTGGAGGCCTCAGACACTTTCTTGAAAGATAGGTGCTACCACAGGTGTTCATGATTATGAGGAAAGGGATCATCTTTTTCCATTTAGAGCAAGCTTGTCCAGCCTGTGACCCACAGGCCGCATGCGGCCCAGGACAGCTTTAAATGTGGCCTCACACAAATTTGTAAACTTTCTTTAAACATTTAGAAGATTTTTTTGCAATTTTTTTTGAAGCTCATCAGCTATTGTTAGTGGTAGCATATTTTGTGTGGCCCAAAACAATTCTTCTTCCATTGTGGCCCGGGGAAGCTGAAAGACTGGACACCCTGATCTGGAGTCAGTTGCCTACAACCCACACACATGGCCCCTGGCTAGCCTCACCAGCAGATAACTGTCGGGCCCCAAGCTCTCACCTCCCCTGGCCAATAGGAAACACAGCTGCTCCTGCACTCTGCATCCTACAGGATGTCCTTGGAGAGGAGAGGACGTCCCCATGGAATCACAGCTGCTGCCTGCAGCCCACGTCCCACAACTGTGCTGGCACTTGCTCTGCTCTCCACCACGCTGGCATTCCCAGCACCACCAGCCGCAGGTGCTCTCTGCCTCCCTGGCAGAGTCACTGGACCCCCGCTGCTGCCTGGTTGTACCCCTCACTTGGTCTTGGTGCAGAGGCCTGGCCTCACGTCAGGCTTGGAAACTGCTCCTCTTTCTTCCAGGCCCAGCCAATCAGTGTGGCCCACTCTTTTAGGTATATTTAGTTATGAGGATTTTCTCAGAAACCCCTTTATTTCTTTATCCAAGCCTGCTTTGGGGGAAGTTCCCCAGGTCATAAGAGAGGGCCAGACAGGATGAACCCCAACTGTGAGCTGGGCTCAAACTCCCATCCCGCTCCTGGGCTTCAAGATAGTGGATGGGCATCCATGGGAGTGGACAGCTGGGCACCAACCTGTCACTCCAGGGCTGGTCTGGCCCAAGTACCCAGAGGACCACTAGGGGGCAGTGTCATGCCATTCATTGGAGCCAGCTCATTGATGCCAGATGAAATTCATATTTACTGAGCCCCTTGTGGTAGGTGCCCTGGGAGGTGCTGGGTTGTGGTGGTGGGGATGTTTCAGGCCTGGACCCTGACAAGTGGAGAGGAACTCAAGCAATCTCACGTGGCATCCCCACTCTGAGGGAAACGATCCAGAAAGGAAGATAGAGGTGGCTCTAGATGGATGGGAGAGGACGTCAGGACCTGAAAAACCAGGAGAGAGAGGTTCTGCAAGGAGCTGGGGAGAGCATGTATGCAGAGGGAACACTGGTACAAAGGTCCTGACCCTGCCCAAAACCACTGTGGCTCCAGATGGAGATCGTTCAGCTGTGGCCGTGTGGGACGTGGCAGTGAGGAACGTGGGCCTTACTCCAAGTGCAGCGTGTAGACAGTGGAGAGTTTTCAGCAGAGGAGCGACACGATCACACATATGTTTTCTGCTGGCCACTCTGACAGCTTCTAGGTGAATGGGATAGAAAGGAGGCCCTGTGAGAAAGACAGCTTTTTCACAAGGCTCAGTCATTCCAGGCCAGAGATTAGAGGCCTGGGCTAAGGGCGGTGACAATATAAATAGAGAGATACAAATGGAGTCATGATATTTTTGGAGCTAAAACTGACAATTTCTGGTGGGTTAGATGTGAGAGAAATGGAAGAATCCAGTGCCAATCTTATGTACACAGAGGAAAATAACCAGGATCCTGAACACATCTTATTATTAAATCCCCTTTTTAAGAAAAGTAATCTGGATCTTGCTGCAGTAGGTCAGGGTTTGGGGGCTCTTTTAAGCACACAGCCTTCATCGTGACACCTCTTTTCCAGTATGCAGACCCTGTGGCTGACCTCCTAGACCGCTGGGGTGTGTTCCGGGCCCGGCTCTTCAGAGAATCATGTGTTTTTCACCGTGGGAACTACGTGAAGGACCTGAGTCGCCTTGGGCGGGAGCTGAGCAAAGTGATCATTGTCGACAATTCTCCTGCCTCATACATCTTCCACCCTGAGAATGCAGTAAGTGGCCCCAAAGAAAGAAAATGTCGAGCTCCATCTGAGCCCTCTGTCTTGCCAGGCAGGCACCACTTTTGAGCACCTACATGAGAAGGTCTCTGGGCCTTTTCCTGATGAAATCCCAGCTTTGCCATTTAGCAGTTGCACTGACTGCTAAATTGACCAAGTTATTTAACCTCACTGAGCCTCTGTTGCCTTCATCTGTCAAATGGGAATTATAGGAATGCTGATCTCATAGGATCACTGGAGGTTGCAGTGTGGCAATGTGTAAAAAGCACTTAGAATAGTGCTTGAGACTGGGAAATGCACAATAAGCCTGTAATCGGCTCAGCAACATTTTTCGTATTGTTATTGACACGAGTTCTGTTGGCATTAACCTCCTGGAGCCAGTTACTGCCTAGGACTTCATGCCCCCTGTAGACTAAGGAGGCCTGGGTAATCTCTTCAACAGACGTATTTTTTAAGAATAAATAGGCTAGGCGTGGTGGCTCACACCTGTAATCCTAGCACTTCCGGAGGCCAAGGTCGGGGTGGATCACAAGGTCAGGAAATCGACACCATCCTGGCCAACATGATGAAACCCCATCTCTGCTAAAATACAAAAGATTACCTGGGCGTGGTGGCACGCACCTGTAGTACCACCTTCTCGGGAGGCTGAGACGGGAATCACTTGAACCAGGGAGGCGGAGGTTCTAGTGAGCTGAGATCGTGCCACTGCACTTCAGCCTGGCAATAGAGGGAGACTCTGTCTTAAAAAAAAAAAAGAAAGAATAAAACACTTCAATAAGGTCTTCAAATAAGAGTGCCAAGTTTTGCCACCTCATCATTATGTCAAAAAAACACCCATTGGGAACATTCCTACATAAAGCTCCCTGAAGCATGGCGGCTCTCGGTGTCTACTCACTGGGTGCAGTACAACTCTCAGGGCAAGAGGGACTGCCCTTCCTCCTGCTGCCCAACACTTCAGGGGAAGAGAGGCCAACCAGGGTTCCTGGTGACTGCTGACCCCTATCACTCCCACACCAGGCATGTTTCCCTGGAGAGGATGCTTCCTCTCAAGCACAGGCTCTAAGATTGCACATAAGCCTGCAGAAGTCCTTTCCTTCAGTCCAGAACTCCATAGTCCCACTTGCAACACCCCCCCCTCCAAAAAAAAATTCAAACTCAATTCACTTGGCTATGTGGAATCATTATTTGAATAAACACTCCAAATGTATTTATATGTAAATATGTTCATTTTACTGAGTAAATCAAATTCAACATAATATATTTGAATATATTTGGTAATGTGTCTGTAACAAATAAGGATTCCTTTTTAATATGATCACAAGTCATGATCAGATCTGACAAAGTAACAGTTTCTTACATTATCTAATACCCAGACTGTGTTCACATTGTCCCTGTCCTCTGAAAGTGTTTTCATGCATTTGGATTCTTTCAATCGGGATCAAAAAGATCCATGCATTGCTTTGGTTACTGTGTCTCTTCATTCTTTTGTAATCTTAACATTTCTCCCTTTCCTCCCCTTTTCTCTTTTATACCATGTATTTGTTGAAGAAGCCCTGGTGTTCTGTCTTGTAGAGATCTCCTACATTCTGGATTTGTCTGGCTGCTGCCTTGTGATGATGTTTAATATGTTTTTATAGCCACCTTAAAGCTCTACTGTTTGATTAGATTAGATTTTTTTTTTTTTTACAAGAATATATCATAGAGGTCAGATGCAATGGCTCACACCTATAATCCCAGCACTTTGGGAGGCTAAGGCAAGTGATCACTTGGGCCCTGGAGTCTGAGATCAACCTGGGCAACATGGCAAGACCCAGGCTCTACAATAAAAAAGAAAACTTAGCCGGTGTGGTGGTACACACCTGTGTTCTAGCTACTTGGGAGGCTGAGGTGGGAGGATCTCTTGAGCCCAGGAGGTTGAAGCTTCAGTGAACCATGTTCATGCCACTGCACTTCAGCCTGAGTGACAGAGCAAGACCCTATCTCAAAAAAAAAAAAAAGAAGAAGAAAAAAGAAGGCATCATAGGTATTACCTGTATATGCTTATGATGACATTCATACCAGGAGGCATAAAATCTCAGGCTGTCCCACTTTTAAAGATTTAAAATTGATCATTGGGTTCAGGTGTTGTTAGCCTGATCCATCTATTAAAAAATTCCCCATGAACCTCTCACCTCATAATCTTAGCAGTTGTTGGTGATCATTGTCTGCACCCACTGTTTCATGAGGAATTGCAAAATGGCAATTTCTATTTTCAGACTAATGAGTCGGTGCTCTAGCAGCCTCCAAAAGTAGCCAATAAATTTTTTTTAGTATCATCATGAACTCACGGATTTGTTGTAGTTTCAATCCATTTATTATTCTTTCGCATGCTCAAATGTTCATGTTTGGCTGTGGAGACCCCTTAAAATAACAGGTCTTTGATATGGAGCATTTGTTGAGCATTCATCTAAAATGCTTGGCACCAGAGTGTTTTGGGTTTTGGATTTTTTCGGATTTTGGAATATTTGCATAAACATAATTGGATATCTTGGGGTTAGAACCAAGTCTAAACATTAAATTCATTTCTGTTTCATGTACAGCTTATGCACATAGCCTAAAGGGAATTTTATACAGCATTTCTGATAACTTGGGGACACTAAACAAACCCTGCGTCTTGTGCTTGCATTTTCTCTGCCGCCCAGCACATGAGGTCAGGTGTGGAATCTTCCGCTGGTGGTGCCATCTCAGTGCTCAGAACATTTCGGATTTTGGGGCATTTCATAATTCAGATTTTTCAGATTAGAGATGCTCAACCTGTAGCTTTTTGGAACAACAGAATGTTCCAGGCTCATGATGAACACGTCCTCCCTCAGCCCTGCAACCAGCCATTTTTGTATGGTAGCTGGTTCCTGTTAGTGGAAGTGGTATTTAGAGACACAGTTTAGGTGGGTTTTCACTGCACCTGGGATGTACTTTACTTCTAGCCTATACTGCAGGGCAGAGCTAAAAATGACATATTTTTATAAAGAAAACCAAATCCCCTACTGGTTTTTCCAGTTCAACATTAAGTTTTTATGTAGCTTCTTTGTTGTTGTTTTGAGACGGAGTCTCGCTCTCTTGCCTAGGCTGGAGTGCCGTGGCTTGACCTTGACTCACTGCAACCCCTGCTCCCTGGGTTCAAGTGATTCTCCTGCTTCAGCCTCCCGAGTAGCTGGGACTATAGGCGCACGCCACCATGCCCGGCTAATTTTTCGTATTTTTAGTAGAGATGGGGTTTCATCCTCTTAGCCAAGATGGCCTGGATCTCCTGACCTCATGATCCGCCCACCTTGGCCTCCCAAAGTGTGTGAGCCACCGTGCCCAGCCTGCTTCTTCGTTTTATATTTGTGTCTCTTTCTCTTATGCTAAAACTCTTGATTTTTAAAGATACTAACATAATTATATATTTGATTTATTCTATAATATATGTTTAGTAATTTCAGTAGCAGTACTAAATTATAACTAATAAGACAACTGTATGCGGTTTAGGAATTTGTACAGCAGGTGTACCGTCATAACACCGTGTTTTCAAATCGCTTGAATGCCAGGCTTGGTGGCTTACCTGGCTGCCTGCAATCCCAGCACTTTGGGAGGCTGAGGAGGAAGGACTGCTTGAGCTCAGGAGTTTGAAACCAGCCTGGACAACAAAGCGAGGCCCCGTCACTACTAAAAAAAAAAAAAAAAATTGGCCAGGTGTGATGGCTAACACCTATAATCTCAGCACTTTGGGAGGCTGAGGTGGATGGATCACCTGAGGTCAGGAGTTTGAGACCAGCCTGGCCAACATGGTGAAGCCCCATCTCTACTAAAATACAAAAATTTGCCAGGCATGGTGGCAGGGGCCTGTAATCCCAGGTACTCAGGAGGCTGAGGCAGGAGAATTGCTTGAACCTCAGAGGCAGAGTTAGCAGTGAGTCAAGATCGCGCCATTGTACTCCAGCCTCGGCAACAAGAGGGAAAGTCCATCTCAGAAAAAAAAAAAAAATTAGCCAAGCGTGGTGGCACATGCCTATACTCCCAACTACTTGGAAGGCTGAGGTGGAAGGATCACTTGAGCCCAGGAGATCAAGGCAGCAGAGCTGTGATTGTACCACTGCACTCCAGCCTG